TGTTTCTTTTGACCTCATGCTGTGAAACTATATTTATATGTGCTGCACCTGTGAATCAGACCTAGACTCAGGATCACCATATAGTCTGAAAGAATAAAAGAAGAACACTGTGATCTGGCTGCTCATCAGTGACTTTACTGGCTGAGAATAAAGTACAATATTTAGCAAGTATTCCGAAGTAGTAGCATGCAACCTCAGTAATTACATTTTAATCCAACTGTATTCAAACTCATTCTCTAATCTACAGCTCTTAATATAGGTTTACAGATAACAGTAAATGAACCCAAAGATTATAATATTCTCAATGGTAAATATTACTAATTAAAGCAATTAAAGAGCAATGAAGAAAAACAGCACGACTTGGCTGATCTTCTGCAGCTTCAATGGTTCTCTTGTGGAACTGTCAACTAAAGAATGCAGCACAAGGCCACTGCTCATACAGACACCGGTGCTTCCGTGCCTTTTATTCAAATTAGAAATACATCTATTTAAATTATTAAGTGTGATGTTGGGAGGTTGCAGAACAAACCCTGCCTGTCACACATGTGTAGTACAAGTATGACTTTTAAATAACATACTTTTTAAACCTTATTTCGGGGGCAAAGTCGCCAGCTTTTTTATGCTTAAATTGCAGTTATGGATTTTTATCTAACTCATTTAGATGGGAGCCTGATTAGAATAACTGCTGATGAGACTTTCTTATGAGGGTTTTAGTTTGGAGGCGAGCCAGATGAGTGATTCTCCTGCACCAGGATCATGTTTTTTTTAAGATTAAATAAAAAACACGCACAAAAAATTGCTTATTCATCATATTTTCGTCAACAAACAAACAGATAATCTGACAGTGTAAAGGATTCCAAGCAGCATTTCTGTCTATGCCTTTTTTTCCCCACAGCTGACACTCGTCTTGTAATACTGGGAAAATTCTTAACAATACCAAAGATTATTTTGTTTTATTTAAGTGCTCCAGTCGGCCGTGACAGCGAATCAGAAAGAACAATGCCGGCTGCATTATCAGTCAGTGTTTTTTTATTCCTTTTTATTTATTAATTCTGTTTCCTTTTTACTCCTTAGCTGTGCTTTTTCTACTACAGAATGCAAAAACTTTTTTTTTTTTTTTTTTTTAAAAGCCTTCTCTTTCTCTGATTATAATAATGAGCATTTTTTTAAAAAGTGCATTTCAGTTCTCTGAAACATTCTCCACCTCATTCTGACACAGGCCTTTTCTTTTGGAGCACATTAATTTTCATCGCCAGCTTTGAATAAACCCCACCAACCATGTGCTATGCGTTGGCTCTTCCCATTATTTTTTTTTCTTCAAACAAGTGAAAAACAAAAATCAATATTAATGTTTTCTTTCAAAATGTGTGCTTCCTCTGCGCGCTCGAGTATCGTCCTGTATATACAGTCCTCTGCAGCTCCACATTTTGATTTATAGGCTTTTATGAGCTCCATAACCAAGAGGCCTCTGAGTAATGCTTTACCTATGCACACCTGACACTGCGGGATGCACCTTTGTGTCCGAGAGTATCTATTTCAATAAAAGTCCCTTCAAGTGTGAAAATACAATAGCTGCCCGAATCCACCAGCTCCAAACAGGTCCAGCACACAACTGAGTGTGTGTTCTTGTGCGTTATGTGTGTGTGTCCGTGCCCTTGTGCGTGGCCCTCCCACCCCGCCAAGTTTTGCATCGGGAACAAACAATATCTGCTCATTTGTTCACGACGGCGGCCTTGTCAACACAATGTGCTGACCTCAAATTCTCTCCTGCTGTTCACGCGGGCCTTTGATGCCATCTGCGTGTGAAGTTCAGAGACCCCTCCTCGGCTGTGTTTGAGGCGGGGAGCAGTTGGCGGTCCTCTGACTCGCAGACGTGCTGCATTTGGCTGCCAGTGTCTGCCCGGTTCCCCAGCCATCTGAGGAGCCTCGCTGACCTCGAGACGCCCACCGCACTGCTGAGAAAACACCGACTTGCAGCAGAGGGCCAACACAGGAAATGTGATCCGGAGGCCCGACATGTGCTCACCACGCTTTTAAGGTTTACTGCACAACTATTAGGACTGTCTCTTTATAGTGCAGCTTAGATGATTAACAATATAAAATCAGTTGTGTTTAGTGTGGCTGATTTCTCACATGCTGCATAAAACGCTTCTACCTCATGAGGTCGCCATAGACTAGAGTATCCTGTGAGCTTGTTCTGCTCACACCAGGGTGAGTACAGCAGTATGGAGAGGCTTGCACAGCATTTGATTACAATAATCCAGCTGCCTATGTGTTAATTTGTACTTTTCATGCTTTTAATTTAGTTCTGTAGGTATTTTTTATGTATCTACCTGCAATATTTTAGCCTTTCTCCAAAGTAGTATTTAAATGCATGCATACAGTCGTCCTCAAATGTATTCTTCCATTAAAGAAAAGGCAAAATTCACAAAAGTCACTCGAATAACTAGAAACTGAAAAAAGTGATAATCAATAAAAATTTGCTAAATTATAATTTAGCAAAATATGACATTGCTTTTGAATTGTGGTTGAAAAGAATAATTTAAAAAAACAAATAAAACTGTCCAAATTAGAGCTGATGAGCAGTGAAATCAGAATACCTGTCAACAGGTGTAGAAGTCTGATGAGAGTTACAGAAAACACTTGATTGCAGTGATTGGCTCGAAGGGTCGTTCAGGAAAATATTAGTTTATAGGTCCCATCATGCTTGTTTATTTATTTATTTAAATATTTCTGTTGAACCACAATTCAAAATCAATGTCATGATTTCCATTAAATTTTTATTTATCATTACGTGACTGAAGCTGTTTTTTTTTTTGCTTCTTTAATGGGAGGATATGAATACATTTGAGGACGACTGTATGTAAACATACAGCTAATGAGCAGCATCCTGCTTTTAACATCCGCCAATACAGACCTAAACCATTAAAGCTTAATTTACATAAAAGCTCTGACCCTTGTTTCAATCTCCCCCTTTTATAATCAACAACAGCTCGGAGGAAATTGCACAGTTGCTTGAGTTTGCTTACAGTGAGATACCTGCTCATTTTATATGTGTCTGTCATTGGACTATTTAAAGAAAGCAGGTTTTAATCAGCTACGTGTGTGTTAAGATTGATTTTTTAACTTAAATAAAAGTACTTCAGTGTAAAAATGTTCAAGTACGGCATTAAAAAAAGTGTTCAAACACCAAGGGTAAATGTGTTCCTCCAGAAAAAAGATGGACTCCTGATCTGAGTGATAAAACATTAATGCAATGCAGCGTTTTTAATGTTGCAGCCGGTCCAGGTGGTGCCATGTTATTCATCCTACCCTTGGAAAGCTTAATGTAGCCATGCATCATGTTTTATGAGCGACTTTATGTTTCGCGTGTAAAATCTTGATCCGCAACGCAGGGGACGACTGCAAACATCGGTACAGACGGACGGAACTTACATCTGATATGAACAAGTGTTTAGATGGATGAAGCTAAGAGTTGCTTGTCATTGTTGATCAATCCGTCAGCTTTAGAATAGAATAGAATAGAATAGAATAGAATAGAATAGAATAGAATAGAATAAAAGACAACTCCAGTGGTGCAAAATACAAGAATAACAAAGACAAATAAGAAGTATATAAATATATTTACTAAGGAGCCAGTAGGAAGTATATACAGTTAGGAATGAGCATGGTAATAGCCAAAGAGTAGAATAAATATTATCAAATGTAAATGAATGATTTATTTAATGTGAAAAATGACAGTAAAGGGGGAGATCTTTACCCTACGGTTCAAACCTGCCAATTTTTTTGTTTTCCAATCATGTTATAGGTAAAATAACAGCATTTAAGAGGTTGGATTCAGGAAATGTTTGGCATTATTTCATGTGTAGGTGACAGTTTTTTGTAAATCAGCTAACTGACCCACCAACTAGTATCTGTGCAGTATTAAGCCATACAAAAAGTTGCCTAAAAGTGGATTAACACAATTAAACACAGTGTTTATCTGGTTACTTCACACCTGAAACCAGGTAGATTCCAGTCTCAAAGCTGCTTTAGCCAATCAAAGGTGAGGACTAGACCTATTTGATCCAATAATCAGTGTTTTTAGGCTGGTTCCAGGACTTTTGGACTAAATATGTCTAAAGTCAGCTACTTTTGGTCCAACTGAATGGACAAAACAAGCTCTGGATCGAGTCTCTTTCCACCAGAAATGTATTCCAGGCAGTGTGGAAATGGCTTTAACAGCATGTAGACATTCATTACGGGGAAAAGTAAATGGCAATGCACGCTGTATGTCAAAGTAATCTTCCAACTGAATCACACTTTGACTTTACACCTCTGTAATTTCTGTATAATTTCCTAGAAAGATTTTTTGAGAAGAAAAACAACATGCAATCAGGTACTAATTACTTCAAAGCTTTGAGACAGTTACAGCCTCTGAATTTATAATTGATTTCTCTGCTGCATTTGAATAGTTGCTAAGAAAGTTTTTGAAGAAACTTGTGCTTGTTTTGATTTATGCATTGCAAAAAATCTGATCCCCCTTCTTTGAACTGCAAGCATGCAGCTTGCATCTGCAGCATCCTGTCATGTCCATGAGGCATGCACAGAGGAAGGAGGGAGCAGAGGAGGAGGAGGAGGAAGGAGGAGGAGGAGGAAGGCTGCGGTTTGTTCCCTGAGCTCTGTTGATGTTCCTCCCTGCAGATGACCTCATGCCGGGAGGAGGAGGAGCCCAGCGTCCCGTAGCCTACCTTTGGTTTGGATCAAGCGGGGGACCGAGTTCGTGTGGAGATACGCTCAAGAGGACCGGGGAAACTTTTTATTTTTTAAAAGTTACTTCAACATCCATGACATTTACCAGGTAAGAGTGTTTTTTTAAGTTGACTGTGCCGATGAAGTTTGGGAAGTTAGAGGTGAGATGTTGCGGTTTTCTTTTTTCTTTTTTCTTTTTTTAGTGGCAGTTTGTTGGAGGAATGTCGGGGCATGCCCACTGAGCTCCACACCGACGGGACTGACAGCTAACTAATTGTGTGTTCTAATATCAAGTTAGCCTTATTCGAGCCCTTTTATTATTATTATTATTATTTTCTCTGTCGCGACCTAACTCCCCCTGAATGCTAACGGTACTTATGCTAGCTGAACTTTCGGCTCGGTTGCTAGGTAGTTGCTATGTTAGCTCGGTACTTTTCCCACAGGTGACGTCTCGGTTGAGTTTAGTTTTAACTTTAGCTGAAACACACACATTTATCAGACTAAAACTAATCAAACTAATCAAACTAATTGACCTAACCTGGTTCACTTCTGCCATGGTGTTCTGGTATTACAGTGCTTCAATGTTTTCCCACTTTGTTGGGTAATTAATCCCAAATTATTAGCAAAAAAAATCAACAAAACTAAATAAATTTTGCAGATAACTCCAAAATCAAGCAAAAAATATGGTGGGAGTGAACTTGATCTAAATAATATAAGCTGAATTTACCTAAAAATGGGCTGAAACTTATCTTTTTGGTCATTTTTTCAATGGTTGAACCACTAAAATGTCAGAAAATAGTGCAAATACTTGCCATAAAGTCCATGTTGACATCTGAAAGTTGTAGTTTTTTATCCAACAAAGAGCTCAAAACCAAGATTTTAGCCTCTCAGATCTAATACTTGTTTAAGTTCATGTGTGTGGGTTTGGGTTTGACACCATTGGTGGGTCGAAACAAGTTGTCTCAGGCATCTTTCACTGTTTTCTGATATTTTATTAAGTAAGCGATCAGTTGGTTGATCATAACAGTTTTATTAAGTAGTTATTATTCTGCTTATAACATGCCAATGCACCTACATTTTTCATCATCTATGCCTTAAACTTCCTCAAGTAAACACTGCTGATCTGCTCATCAGCGTGCAGATGTTTCACACAAACTTCATTACTTTTCTTATAACTCCGCGGTCTTGTTTGATGCTAATGTTAGTCTGTATTTTGGATGTGGTTCTTTTCCGAACCCAGATATAGTAGTGGGCTTACGGCTGAGGGACTGTAATCTCGTCCACCCACATAAATTGAGCCACTGGAGTTTGACCACTGGCTGTATATATGCGTTGTGCTGTTTTCAGCAGATTGTTCAGCGAAGGAATCCCCCTGCATCTCAGCCAGGTTGCTTTGAAAGTCAGTGCTTCGTTTTTTTTTTTTTTGAGAAATTGCTCGTAAATGTCAGGATTAAGCTTTGATCGCTGTAAGCACATGAAGTCGAATCAATGTGCTGCCTGATGAGCGTTATGAAGTCTTCATAACTCCACCATCTCCTGGCGCTCTATCTTGAAAGAACCTGCCACAACACTTGCCGTTTCCTGTGTTGAATTACTTGTTTCAGTTTAGCTTCAAGGGCACTTTAACCCTATAGACGGTGTTGATTTTCCCATTTCAGACTCAACAGGTGGAACAGGCTTTGCTGCTGACAATCATGCTCGCAGTCTGTTAACGTGAATGTACTCTGCATTAACTTTCCAATATAATTTCAGGCAATTTTACGGTGATAATGGAACCATTAGAGTGGATTTGCATGCCTCTGTGCCAACGCTAGAGCCACCCCAATTGTCTATTTATAAGATGTTTGCATTACAGAGCACTCATCTTATTGAAAGTGCCATAAGAGTCTGCTTCCCACTCTCTGCAGAGCCTGGTTCCCATGGTCCCCAGCCAGTTGGCCAGCAGCAGATGCTGGCATCACAGTTGCATTGTTATGGCTGAGGAGGGAAAGTTACTGGAGCCAGTGACCTGACAGACAGCACATACTGGGTTGTTGCTGATAATAAGGATAATGATTTTGTCCTATTAAGAAGGCCTGATCCCAGCAGGGAAGCCAGATTTATAGTGGCTAGACGTTTTCAGGACCCCGTCTGTCATCATGCTGTTTAACCAAGATTGTGAATGAATCGTCTGTGTGGTGGTGTGGAAATCTGGCGTGGTTGAGGGCAACGAAATCCTTCTGCAAATTTGCTTGTGTCGAGCAGTGTGGTAGTTTTATTAGCACAACGTTTGTTAGTGTATAGATGTTGTTTGCTGCACACCTAACCTGTTAAGCGCGGTTTCACATTTGTCTCGTTTGGAGTTCGTCAGTCAAGGCGTATGAAGACCGTCATTCAAACTCTTGGACTGCTTCCAGTTGGCTTTCAGTCAACCGCAGGATTTAATGATAGTAGATAAGTAATTTCTGCATCAAAGAAATCAATCTCCTGCGCTATCTGTGGCCAGGGGATTTTCATAAAATGAGTGGGATTTGCTTAACACGTCCAGGATACTTTTACATATCAGAGGCATTAAGGTGGTTTTAGGACATGTTGTGAAATAACAGCATAGTGGCAGAAGCAGAAAAGCAGTTACCCCTTGAGCTTTTGGAACTCGAACAAAGCAGTTTAATATGAGGTAGCTGAAGTAACATAAAAACTTCAAACTGCAAAAGTGTTTTAATAACTCATTTTCTGTTTACTCTTTCAAAGGAGAGGCCCGTCACAGACATCTACAAGCTCTGAAATGACTAAATATTCACCATCAGACAAAGAAATTCTGTTGCGTTCTTCGCACTGGGATGAAAAATCAAACACAATCCTTTTTGGCAAAGTAGCGTCGTGTGTAATTGCATTAGCTCAAGTTTCTTGGCAGCTTATGTATCACCTTAACATTTAATTGCCCCATTTGCCTTCAGGTCATCAATTAAAACATTACGGTGTGACAGATACACATTTTAAGTTTCCTTTGTACTTCTGTGATGGTAGAACCGGATTCTGCTGAATCACATTAAGTAGTTACTGTAGTAGAAATGCAGTGTTTTCTGTGTGTCGAGGTGAGCAAGCATGTCCAGTGTATGTCTCCAAGGTCTGTGTGTATATTTATGCCCTCAGGCGAGCATGTGTGTGTCTGACTCACGTGTGTGTTTGGAAGCGCTTCTTAGTAACAGCTGTTACTGATTTACATTTTTGTCAAGCCTTTTTGAAGCCCCAGAGACAGACAAGGAGGAACGAGAACGAGCGGGTAGAGAGGCGTTATAAACCATTAAATGCAACATGGGTGGCAAGTTATTTCTAAACAAGAGAAGAAGAAGCGTTAACAATGTGATTAAAAAAAAAAAAAGAATTAATTTGTTGATTAATTTAGTTACCATAAGTTAAATGATGAATTACTGCTCTTTCCACTGGGAGGTTCTTGGTTGAGATCCAGGAGGGTGCTGGTGGAATGTGCGGCGACCTGTGCACGATCTCCTTAGCAGGTGTCTGTCTGGGAGTTGTTGTTGCTCTCCGACTCTGTTGTGGGTGGTGTGGACACCCGGTGGTCTACCCCAAACTCCCAGTTAGGCTGCTGTGGAAGAAGAGAGCAGACAACGCCACACATGACAGTTCTTTCACAATTGTACAATAGCCATATGTCCCCATTGTGCAACTTGTTTTCTACTTACTTTTAAGTTCTTGTGGTCTTTGTAAATACACACATTTTGTTTCGGAGGTAGACAGAAAGGGAAGTGATTGAGTTATCCACAGACCAATGAACAAATCATCAGCAGCGATCCTCTGGGTGTAAGACTGCTGTTCCCAGCTTGACATATTCCTGTTATAACAATGATCGTATTTGGATTTGTTAGACTGTCTCAGACGTTTCAACTCCCCATCTACATCTGCTATGACGTGATCTGTAACATCTTTTTATTTTAGGGCTGTAAAGCAAGTGCACATAGAAGATTGAGTACTAACTTGTCTTATACGACAAGTGGACCTCTAAGATTTTCCACTTTCCTGTTTTGACTGTTCACAGACACTTTATTCTTCTATGCACTAAATGCTCTTTAGCTAAAGTGATGGGCTAAAAATAAACTCCCATTCCAAGATTGACAAGTGGTGAGGCTACCTTATCTGCAAAGTGCTTTTTACTCTGAAGCCCTGTTGAATGTCTGCTGGCTTACATCCTACTTCCTTTGGTATGCTGCTTAAGTCCATGGTTTCAAGTTTGCTACATTGCTGGACTCCTCTAATAGCTTTAAAACCGTCTCCTTTTTACTTAATAAGAGTCAGATTGGTTCCCGTGACCCTCTGACCGATATACCTTGATGTGATTAGAATCTCTCCAAGTGTTGCAGGTACTTCCTGTGGACTTTAACCACTGCTCGTTAATGTTTAACTCTTAATCAAATACCAGCCTTCCTTGGAGACAAATGTCAAATTGTGTGTGAGTAACAATGGTCCGGCTCTGTTTATTTTTACTCTAGATATTCATTAACACTTTATTACTACACCAAATCAGTAATAAATAGATTAAGTTTACCCTGCAGTGATATTGAACGTTTTTACTCTGCATGAAGTTAAATCTTTTCTCCTCTAAAACATGCCTTGACACTTCTTGAGCAAAATGGAAAGACACAAGCTGACTCATTGTCAGTGATGAGACAGCATTTATTGTAGTGCCCGGGGGTGTAACAGTGCATAACAACCACTGCTGTTATTGTAACAGTTAAGTCACTGAAACACTGGCGCAGTGTCAATAAGAGTTGGATTAAAGTTTATGGGGTCATCAGTGAACAAAACCGATCAGGGTTCATGATTAGTGTGAGCTCCACATCAAGGCTGAACAATTAATGTACAGTTTGAACAGAGATGTTGTAGTTTATGGCAGGAAAGTTGATTAAAACATGCAGTGTGAGTTAACTAAAGCTCATCCCGTAGCACGATACAACCGAAAGACAAAGTTTAGTGCACATATAAACTTCTGATCGTAACTGTTTGGGCCACAAGGTGTATCGAATAGAAGTCTCACAGCGAACAGAAATCCCATACTGAACGGTTCACTCATCAGCTGTATCAGAAAGGTACAAAGATAAGTGGATGAGAGGGCAAATCAATCTTTCCAAAATTACTTTTCTTTCTTTTCCCTCCCAAGACTCCGATGCCTCACAGAAACTTTAAAGTTTAACAGCTCACACACTAGCTGTTGGCCGTTGTCTTTTGTAATTTCCCGTACCAGTCTGATAAGTAGATCAGACTTATCCTTTTTAATTTTACCCTGAGTCCTCCTCAATAAGAAGCTAGCTTGCTTTGCCTCGAGCTACATCTTTGAATCTGCCTGTGCTTTTGCAGAAACGGCATGTTTCCCACCATCTACAAGTAAATAAACAGCGGCAGCTTGTTTTCCCATCGTTTGGTTTTAGGAATTTTTCCCTGAAATGTCTCATATTCTGTCAGAAGAACTAGCTGCATGTTCAGATTTAGAAATATGACTGCATGCACCCATTCTAGCTGGAGTTATGATGGTTTTGTATTGTCTAGATCCCTACACTAGCAATGATAGGATCTCTTTCATACAGGAAATAAATGTAGTTCCTGATTCCTTCAGTCAAAATGCAGGTCTAATGCCTTATTTCCTTAAAAGCTTCTTAGTGCTCTGGGAAAATTTCTCTGGTGGAAATGCCATATTATATAAACTTACTTAAAGTTTCAAAGGGCCACTGCTTTGTTGATGTCTAATGACATTCTTCAGAGAAAAAAGTTCTTTAAAGGAATCGTATGTGCATCTCAGCTGCAGGAACAATATACCAGGTTTGTTTCCCAGGTCATAGTTCATTCTCCTCAAGATGTTTCTGCCCTCAGCATAGCACCCAGGTGGCTCACTTTGACGACTGAATTGCTTAACGTTCGTTGTCAAGCACAATTCTTGAGGTTGCTACAACTTGTGTACAGCATTCATTCAGACTGTTGAGGCTTTTCATTCAAATGGCAACCAGAGAGCACTGGTTGGTTCACATACTAATGGACTGCTGTTCTTTTTTTGATGTGTTTAGCACAGATTGTTTGGCCTTTTTGGAATTGTTACCCACTTCATATTGTTCTTAAAACTCGTGCATCAAGGTGCTGTTTGTCAGACTTCTAATGAATGGCGCTGATTGGCAGGTATTTCCTCAATGAATGAAACAGTGGTGCTACACATACTCATATTTGCGAGTTGTGCAATACCCACATCACACGGAGCAGTTCTGGAGAAGCCCTTGCCATTACATTAGACATGCTGCATATTTTTAGTCGTGTTTCTGTTGTTATTATAATGTTGCTGTAGTTTTTAGGTTTCGGTACTTTTGCACAAGTTACACCATCATGCCTACCTCATATAAGCGTTTTTGGCTCAGTCGTTTATTTATTGCTAAACAAAACTCGTGATGGCTCTTTGATAAAATAAAAATTTTACTGAATTGTTGGCTGGTCATAATTGTGTGATCTGTTTCTGGGGTTAAATGATATTACCAATCGAAAAGTGAGGTTTAATATCAACTGTTTGTGTTCCAAGATATGTCCCTTGAAACTTAGGCTGGCATAAGTGAAGGAATGCAGGAAACACTTGAGTCAAACCGGTAGACTAGTTATATAAATATCTTTTCTTTTGTTATTTCCCTCCCACTCACATTAGTGCGAATAACAACCTTTTGTTTACAGTGGCTGACACTCAGACTGTGCCGTCCTCCATACCTACTCCCTACACTTCCTCCTTCAAAGGTTTGTTCGCTAACTTGCCATTGTTTATGAAGCACTTGAACTCACAGGCCAGGGCCAGCCTGTTTCCTGCACTCAGTGAATGGACAACAAAAGAATAGATAATTATGGAGTTCACGTGACAGTTTTAAACTATCACAAGCTCAGTTCTGGGCAGCGTTTAATAAACCAGCTTGAAGGTCAGCTCGTAATGAGAATTTCCATGTTGCTATGACAACGGTGTGGAAATCTGAGAGTGATCATTCATGTAGAATCAATTGATGAAGAGAGGTGGCAGGGTATTTCAACAGGAAAGAGATGAACGCATTGGGTGGAAAAACGCTGTTTGCTCCGGCGCTGGAAGAGCGGTAAAGCTGATCTGAGCTTAAGGGTGAGCTCTCCATTGTCTGCCACCTAATAGCGGACAAAGCAGGCTGGAACTCGCCAACTGCCAATGTATGTGAGATGCTTCCCCACCAGAGGCTATCGGGACAAACAATTCCTATTTTCATTCTATATATAGCAGTCTTCTCAGATGACTGTGGTATAGCCAGATGGCCCCATTAACCACATGTCATGTCAGCATTGTGCAGGTGAGGATCTTTTCTGCTCCACATCCTGTATAGGTTTGAACTCTATCACGTCCACAATGACCCGAAAAAAACACATGTTGATAACCCGAGGCACCTTTTAATCACCTTGGGCTCCAATTTCTCTTTTTCTGAAAGGAAACCATCTTGACATTGTACCACTGACTGGAGTCCTTTTTTTTTCTTTCTTGCTACCTTGAGCTTTTCCAAGGTAACAGACTGCCCACATGCGAAGGTCTTAGTGCTGACATATGTCTGGTTTGAAAATGCCAGCAGTGGGGAAGCTGCCTTAATGATGAGGTCTTTGGTGTATATCCCTTCAGTTGCCTGGGGTATTTTGGAGCCCGTTGAAGACGTTTGACGACCGGGCTGTTGTTCTCTTCAAACAAACAAAAGAGACAGTGCTATGAACACAACACTCTGCTGTTTCCCTGGGCAAATGTGAATATGGAGAGGCTGTTTTGTCTATTCATCCAGCGTGTGTCCTCAAAGACCTGTGAGCCTCTGTGGGACTTTGACTGCTCTGTTGTAATATTGAGAGGCCCCTTCTAAGGGGCCATGCTAATATCCAAGCACAGCTTAAATGTACTGAGATGGACCCGACCTTGAGGCCTGGAGGAATCTTGATTCCCATCTTTGTGCATACCATGCAGTCCATGCCGCTTCCCCGAGGAGACTCTCTGATGAAGGTCACAGTTATACCCCCAGTATAGCTTAAGCATCGCTGCATTTTATAACGCACTTTCGTTTCATTAACTTTCTTCAGGATCTCTTACATCTGCTGCCAATAAAAACAACCCAAGGCTTAGGAAATATCAACCCATAATGTCCTTATGCTTGTTGCAGATATTTTGTTCATAAATGCAGAGGACTTGAGGAAGATTCTCAAATCAAAAATGGCTTGTTAAGGAAGGTACGAGCTGATTGTAGCGGGCACATATTGTCGTGTATGGAAGCTGTCATTTCATTGTTTAGCTACAATAGATGTTTGTAGAAAGTTAGCAAAATATCAGCGGCATTGTGTTGGGATTTAGGAGTTTCCAGTCTACATAGTTTCATAGTTGTTCAGTTGGCAGGAATGTGTCAATGGCTGCGTCTGATAGCACTTCCTATTATACTGTTGAAGTATGTAGCACTGGGTCTGCATCGTCCCTCCCTAGAACCAAAATATTCTTGGTTTGACGTTAATTAACTTTATGTTGTAATGACTCTATTATTGTTAAATGAGTGTCGACAGATTAATAATCCATGCTTGTGTTTTTATTTTTTATTAAAGTAATATTTACATTTTAATTTCAAACCAAATGGAAACGGCTGATGTTGGCATACCTGAGAATAGAGCGTGCTGTACTGGAGATGAGGTGATGGTTGGAGAGAAGGTGTCTCATTCTCCAAGTGGTTACTGACTTGTGTGTGTCTGGTCTGGTGGCGGGGGAGGGGGGGAAGGAAGGAATTTGTCATGTAGGCTTTTTGAGTTTCAAGAGGGCGTTTCTCATTTCCTTTGGGTTAACCTGGGTGATGTTTATTGTTACTGTGGAGATGAGCAGCTTGCTCCTACACAGCAGCTGGCACCTCTGCTGACGAGGCCAATATGCTGCACTGTGCTACGCTATCATGAGCTGCACTGTTGTGTCTAGATTAGATAGACACTGTCCTATTTCATTATGCTGCACCAGGTCCCTTTTTGCCCTTTTGTTTTGTTTTGCCATGGACATAACACCCAAAAGTCTAGACTCAGATACCTATGCAGTCTTGAGCACACCAAATCATACACAAGAAGAAGAGTTAGGATGAAAAAAAAAACTGTCAGGTTGGAGATTGTGAGTGGCCTGCTTCATGTATGTGTATGTCTCTTGGGTCTTTCAAAATTAAACTAAGGTTAGTTTAGTTTTTTGACCAGTCACTGCTGCGTTAAGATCCCGGAGCCACCTCAGGGATTTGCCCCGAACACCTCCACCGCCCATAACCAATTTGGTGGAGGCTTTGCTTCACTGTTTCATCTGACACCATCAAGGATGAAAAAGAGCAAATCAATAGCCTCTCTCTCAGCAGTAGCAGCAGTAAGAAGACCTAGATATTTAAAGCCTGGCTTCTGGGGTTGAGAACTATGTGTTTTGTTTGCAGATGGCATACCCTTATTTGGTTGAAACCATTCTTTTCTCTTCATTGGAAAGATTGCTCCGCTGCTATTAATACAGTAGAGTGCACTGTAGGAGCCTGTAATGTGTTTAGAGGGTTAGAAACCAGAAATCCCACACAATTAACTGTTTTAGCTGAGTTGGGTTAGGAATGTTTTTACCGTTGTCCGGCTATAAATGATTCCAAAGCAAACAAGCACGTCCAGGCTAGACCTTGAGTTCATGTTATACCGTTTAACTCCAAGGATTCAAAAGGCACACTAGCTTGGGAACAACCGTGGATATCAATTGTAAACACCCAAGTTCAGCCACATAGCATCAATTACATGTGGAATTCAGGGCATTTGACTGAGTGTTTTCCTGCATAACAAGATAGCAGAACGTGTCCTTTTCTGTTTAAATATTAGAGCATTCTTTCCATGCGCCCCTCCACTGATGACCTGCAGGATTGGAAGCGCTGTGGGAAAACTCCCAGGCGGGTGCCAGCTAAGCAGTATGAAATGCGGATATACACTGTTTTGCTATTGCTGCGTGAGGTTATCGAGGGCATATTTTATCTTGTTTGGTTAGTTTTGGATAAAAAAAGACCTGGGGACCTGGGGTGTCAGTGGTTATCTTATTTTGAAGTGAAGAGGGAAAGTGCTTCTGTTTTTTTCCCATAAAAAGAAATGGAATGTTGTTAGTGACAATGGATGCATTTCATTTATTTTGTTGTGGCTGTGAGTGGATGAATATTTTTTATTTTCTCTTCCCCCAGGGGCTCGACAGAAAGGATTCCAGGAATCTTGCCATGTTCAAAGCAGTGCTGAAGAAGAACAGGGATGGAGGCAAGGGGAGCAAGAAGGATTCAGGTATGTGTAAGACCGTGAAGAAAAACAGCAAGCTAGTTTCTAGAAAAACAGACACCCCATACCCCTCAAAAGCTCAGACACTATCCTCACTTTCAGGGTTTATGAATTCATTCCTGACTAAACTGCATAATGCGTCCTAAATAATACAGCTCTTTGTAAAGATTCAGAAATTAACACATTAAGTGAGTTAAAATGAGCCAAAAGAGAACAGAAAAGAATACTAATGTCTCAACGTGGCTAACAAAATCATGAGATTGAAATTATTTAGAGTTGTCTTTTTTTTTTTAAGTGCTCCATTTATAGATGATTGTAAACACTATCACCATAACTAAAATGGACCTCCAGTAAAGCATTCTGTGCAGTATATACTGTTAATAGAAAGTTAGTGGTGATTTATTTAACACAAAGCTTTATGCCACAGATAAAGCCCGAGATGCACACTTCATGTAAATGCTGCACTGGAACAGTCTAGGGCAGGGATGATATGGAGAAAATTACAGCCGTGTGAGCTCACACGCACCCGTGACACATCCCACCGCATCCCGATTTTATTGTTACGTCTATAACTTTCAGTTCAAAATGGGAGACTTATCTGTAATTTTGACTGTAGATGCAGCCTGACCATTGTGTCATAACAGATGTTTCCCTTTGGAAATTTGTCGAATTTTCCGACATGACTAATAATGAGTCAGTCTCACCAATACATTGTTGACTCGTCTCTCGTTCATTCAATGGGCCCCCCTCTGCTGATCTGTCTTGACATAGCAAATTGACCATTTATGCTTATATTGCACCTACCTGCCTCGACTTGCTTTACCACCTCGGAGCTGGTGTCAGCAGTCTGCCTCCAACAGCCCGTGTATACAGTAGATACATGTCTCATAGCTCTGCTCTCTCTGCCTTGTCTGTCGTGATTGTTTCACTCAGCAGCCAGCGCTGAAATTAAAGGGGAAAGAGTCTGACTTACTTTACACACACCACTCCACCACTCCTACTGCTCTCCCGTACAGTGGAGCCTGAGAGGCAGGCTTGTATGTATTGCTTTTTATGAAGCTGTCGCAACCTGTCTCGCATGTATGAATCACCTGATAATACAGTTTGCCTGTTATCCAGACACCACACACACACACCCCCACTAAAACACAGGAGGGTCTGTGTACGTGAAGGCTGGGTGCAGCAGGGTTTTATGGTGGGATACAGCTTCTTTATCCCAGCCTCACTTTCCCAGTTGGACCCCATCCATCAAGCCAAAGCAGCTCTGTCTCCCTTTCTCATGCTGGGACAATAAAATCTGGACACTCCTCTCTGTTGTTTAGGGCTCTTAAGACAGATGAGAGGTCACAAAGATACAACAGCCAGCAGTGGTCACTTTACCTCGCTGTTGTCCTTGCGTGGGGCAGATATCCTGACCGGGCGTCTCTTTATTTTTAGGCTTAACACTTTATTCAGTAAGCCTAGAGGAAATGTGGTTTTTATCCTATAAATTTGAGAGATATTTCTTTTAAAAAGTCTTGGTTATGGTGCTGAAGAAACTTAAATTTTGATGAGCAAAACATTTTGAATTCTGTCTTAGCAAGGGTGATATTTCTTAGTTATAATTGCATGCTGCACTGCGCCACGTTTGCTTCTCTATTGTCCTTGAAGAAGAGAACTTGTTTGTAAATTCAGGTGCTTTCTGAGCCTGGAAATGAAGTTAGTAACACAGAAATCCTGATGGTGAAGGCGTGTTAATCACATTGGGTATGCTGCAGTATAGTTAATTGTCTCTCAGACAAGATGGTACCATATTGCATCTAAAATAATCACTACACCTTCTGCGCTGCTTAAATGAGGATTTTATTTTGATCCAAAAGATTTACAAAATAAACTTGTGTCAAAATGAAATGCTGGTTGAAATGCAAGTTTGCCACACTCTTCATTTTACGCTTCTCTATTTTGTTGGCACTCTCAGGTGGGATTACAATGCTGAAATGTTGAAAGGTTAGTTTATTTTGTTAGGGACACCATTAATATTTTGTGAGATTTTTGAGGCAGTAATTCTTGGTGTTTTATGCCCGACAGTTGGTAGGAATAATCATTTTTGTCTCCGCAGATTTAGCAGTTTTTTTGTGTAGATCAATAAAAATTGTGTTTATTAGTCAAGTCTGTTGTTTTTCGCAGTCCCTCTAGCATTCTTAGAGGCCAGACTGCACAGACTTTGCTTATTTCAGAAGGCCCAGAAGGCCCAAAGTCCTGTAAAATCTGCTCAGCAACATATAATGGAAATAAGTGGGAGGAAAGACCTTGATAATGGTATAATTGCAAGATAGCTCAGCATATGTTGCTCATGACTTGGTGGCTATGGACTGGAGGCAACTTTAAAACAGTCAAGGAAACTTGGCCCCCATGCCAGATACCACTACAGTCATTAGCTCTCCTTTGGGATCTCCCCATTGCCAAGACCACAAAAAACACACAGTTTGCTAATTTAGTCTCTCCATCTTGCGCTCCTCCTAGATCCTTCCTTCTCCTCTTCCTCCTCCTACTCCCCCTCACTTGCCTCTCTTAGCGTCATTCTGTAAGGAATCTGTTTGGAATTGGCCGTTTTAATCCCTTTTAAGTACTTTTTTTTTATGGTCTGCCATTCCAGGAGCGGGTTTGCTGTGACCAGTTGCCTTTGATGTTCACATTTTCTGAGAACGTGGTAACTGGGTTACAGAAGTAGGCCTCAATACGGTTAATAGATTTGGGACTGCAGGAGGACAGTTAGATCTTAAAGAATCAAATATTGTTTTAACTGTTCTCTGAGCATCTATTGCTCACTTTGAGGATTGTTGTTTTGCAATGGTGGAATTGTTTTCAAGCAGGTTTTCATTGAGGGAAATTTGTGTGAATTTGATGCAAACATTCTTCAACAGCAGTGTTTAGAGGTAATAGTAGTATATGCAGTAGATGTCCTCAGCATGGATATGATTTTCCTTTAGGCGTGAGAAAGAGTCCTCGGAGAAAACAGTGATATGTATTAATACCACAGTTTCAGAACAGTTCAAACCAAAGTCGCAAAAGACACCTTCACTATCAAGTTTCATTTTCAGTCTGTTACGTAGCTTATGTGAAGTATAATGTGAAAGCACATCCCGACTGAGCTGAACTGTGACAGCCCATAGCAGAGATAATTAAGTCACATGCAACGAATTGGTTCTCTTCACCAGCATATAGAAGTAAACATGGACATTCCTAAATGTAATAAACTTACAGGCTAATAAATGAGTGCATCCTCAGACTTGGATGAACACGTGAGTCTGCATTTTTCCACTCAGATTAAATGCTCTTTGGCAAAGTGGCCTGAGTGGTCCTGCTTTCCCCTCACTGAGGCCCCTCTGGCGGCCTCCCTTTAAAGCCTCGCTGTCTGGAGTGAAGTGTATGGCCACGTACTGTTATTGTTTGCCTGTGAGTGCCTACAATTAGTTCATGATGTAACTGAGAGAAATCACATTTTTGACTCAGCTTTAATTGCCGAATGTGACTGTGTGTGACTCCGTGGGTTGGGCAATATCCCTGAAAGCCCTCCAACTTGGTCTTCCCGCTCAATGAGTTCGGCTGCTTGAAGCAGCTGCCAGACAGTTGTCTGTCTGTTGTGGGTGACGCAGTGTTAATCACACTAGCACGCATCGCCGTGCACTCTTGGAGGCCGATAACAGTTTCAGCTGTTTATTCCTGCAACTTCTGACACACACAAGCCTTGTACACACAAACAGATATGCGTCCACCACCAGTTGGCAGGGCTTTTCTCGCTTTGTGTGGCTCTAACCAGACAGAAGCCACACATGCACCTGGCCGGACAGGACAGAGCAGTCCTCTTGTTTATTGACCTGTGATCAGAGTAGAAGTAGGAATGGTAGGCTTACACATGAGGGGGGAGCGAAGGGTTGATGCAGGTTTCATTTACATGAATACATAGATTTTTGTCGACATCTGTCCAAAGTTTCCCCTGGACGGTGATATTTCTGTGCTCATTTCAAGTGATGGAGAGTGAACATTTAGCCACTGTCATTAAAGATGATCACAGTAAGAGTTTTATTGCTCTTCAGACAGAAAAGAAAGGATGAGAAGCAATTTGCACAAGAACATAATGTGTTATTGGTTTAGCGACCTGCAGAAATGTTAAATCTCATTTGAGAGCAATACCTGACTATGAGCAACCTCTTTGAATTTCAGCAAGATTAAGTGAAAGATGAAGGGAATGTTCACAGTGTAGTGGACCCGTGCACACACAGTAATGGTGTGTGTGTGTGTAGAGCGAGACCATTAAGTACTGTGTTGCCTCAGCTGTGGCGGTGAATGGTACATGCTGTCTCTGCAGTTTCTGTGAGCTTCTCGGGTGTTTTGACATAAAACAGTGATTTGTTGCGAAAGGTCAGACAACAGCAAATTGGTTACAAAGTGGGATTTCGTGTGCCTCTCCAAATTTGAAATACCCCTGGGATGACAGAGCAGGTTCAACTTGTTAATAAGGTGTTGATAAAGGTAATCATCATTTCAGGGCATCTGGTTTGTGGTTTATTATTACGTTGCAATATTTTACATTTATTATGCCTTTTATGTTAATCTCAGTTTTTCATATTCCTTACTCCCTCTCTGCGGGGTGTTGCAGTGAAGTAGAGCAGCTGACATTGCAGAGATTCCTTCGTTGTTGTCTTTATTCTTTCTCTTTCAGCTGCTGCATCAGGATTTTTTGCTCTTATGGGGAGACTTCCCTTGATAAACAATAACCACAGGTGGCTGAGCGGTTATTTGTTCTGGCAAAAAAGAGCTTTTGATGGACAGCTGTTCAAAGAAAAATCGCTTTTTTTTTTGTTTGCTGCGGGGCATATTGAAAATTGTGGTTGTTGTGGCTATAAGAGTTTATTAATGCGGCTGTTTCTTGTGGCCGATCAGAAATGGAAATGTTTATCTTTGCTTGGCTGTGAGACAGCATTAGTTAAACACTAGCTGACTAGCTTTTGCTCTAATATCTTGTC